AATCTCGGATTGTTGCGCTATCCATAACCTCACCGAAGAGGAGACCCTTCGAGCCCTTTCCTCCGCTTTTAAGGGCAATGCTCACACCTAGTATAGGACGGAACACCCTTACATGTTCAGCTTTGAAGACTTCGTCGCTGCATTTAAAGCTACTTATTGCCCCCTCGGTCGCGAGGNCGGGAATCGAACCCGGGTCTCCCAGATACGCGCCGGGCACTCTTATCGACTAAGCTACCGGGAACCACAGAAATTCACTCTCAAATTCCCTATGAAAATTCAATGAAAGTTTCATTTTGTATGAATATTGAATTGCCAAGTAACCCCAGTCAGGATTACCGGCTTATAAATTCATTTCTTTAGCCTAGTGAAACTAAATTTTTTCTTCGTAAATAAGGAAGATTTATGAGTATTGCAAATATGCAGCAACAGACGAAGCCTAATCCCCGTTAAAATGTTTTTTTATCTTCAGGTTTATAATCCTCATCAATCCACCGGAGGGAAGTAAGCGGAAATGTAAGAAAAGGAAGCAAACCTCCTACAATCCGAAGGTGTTGAAATTGATAAACATACTGAACGAGGCACTATCAGCAATAACTTTGTAAACTTCGTCGAACACTCAACACTCAATCTCCATAATCGATGGCATTCTATTGATTATCTTTTTGAAGACTTTTTTACAAACGAAAGTGAAGAACACATGGAAAGTTTCTTTCATCTGAATCTCCTAATCCTACATGATCCTGTTACTGAATGCATGGATTTGTCTCTTTAAATGAGATATGCCCAAAAAATTTCATGTTTCAAAGAAAAATTGTCGTACGTAGCCATTGATATTGGAATGCACCGTTCTTGTAAAAACGTACTAGAAAGATTTTTATGATACATTTGAAATTGAAAATTCATACATATGCTACTTAATAAAGGCATATACTACTGTTGTAGGATACCAATCATGCAAGGTAAAATTACAATGCATCAATATATCGAAATTCGCGTACTTTGCAATTTAATCTTGTAATTTTCCTCTAATAAAATTCATTTACTGTAATCGCTGTTTGCAATACATTACACCGTTGATTATAGCAAAATGTTTTCGAAAATCACAAGGCAGTCATTGAAATTCCAGTGATATATCATATAGTTTTATCATACACATGAGCCGTTTTCTTATTCATCCGCATCCCAAAAATGTGCGTCACTGCTGTGAATTCATTAACCACCAATGGTAAAATAATTATATCAGCGGAATCAGATTCTACGGTAGCAGAACTTTGAAAGTGTAATCAATGAGAACTAAACTTAATATGATTGTATGTGCAAAAATTACAATCGTAGCGTGTAACTTTTACCATCCCGTATGCCATGGAAATGTATTGTAAATTTATCATACTTTATTGTGAATTATTGTAACGCTAATTATAAAATAATTACGTAAATGTAGACGAAATTTACATAATTAGGACATTAAAAGTGCAATGAAACACAACTAAATTTACTATAATAATTTCTAGTAAAATGATTATACTTGTGTACGACTTCCATTGATATGTGTACCACGGCAAGGTATTGTGAATTAACCATACAGTATTGGGCACAGGGTTTCCAAAGACAGAAATTACCCACACAGTCTAGTGTAAATGACTGCCTACACGTGTGGTAATTTATCAGTGGACTTTTTTAACAGTGCAGGTGGGAATTGACGATATCAACTGTGACGAGGCGATTCTTTATTTTTATTTGTTTTTGATTACACTTTGCCCAACTACACACTGCCCCCTAATTACTAAAATCCCGCCACCGTTGGATACCCCTTCCCTCGATCTTCCCCTCATCGCCCCTCTACTCCCGCCACTGGACATCACGAAGACACCAGCCGAAGAAAGACAACAGTTCCGGCCCTACCGGATAATCTGCAGGAGCCGTTGCTCCCCCCACAAACCACCCATACATGGGCCTCGGCAACCCACCGCCTTCGACGATCCCAGCGAGACATCCCTGGATTGTGGTCATCGTCACCACTCACCCGTACTGATTGGCCCCGATTGCTCCCGAATTCCAACCCGAAGGACTGCGGCACCTGACGAACCCCCACGAATTACGGAGAA